GTGAGTAGACATCGTTTACGTGAGATATTCAGAAGAAGAGTGGTGCGAGTGCGGCCCGGCATGCTGGCCCTCAACCACGTGACATCCATGTTGACGTTTGAGAGCTGGTTGGGCTCAGAGTGGCACTAGGCAAAGGGGACTGGGCACTGCTCTTCCACGGGTGGGGATGCACATTCAGGTGTTCTAGAGAAGCATTTTAGTTGAACCTTCAGCAGCTGTCATTAGTGTATTAACTTTTTTTCTCTTAATCAAAAACTTTGATTAAATTTTGAAACAACTTGCAGTACATTGCAGTGAATGATAGCATCTTACCCCACCTGTGTGAAGTATTTACTGTGTCACTTCCATGTCCAGTTGAATATAAACCATGTCCACAGTCGCCTTTGTATGTATGCCTATCGCGAATGGCTGTAAACAAGTCCTCGTGTTTTTGTTTACATTATTTCGTTCGACCGTCAGTGCATACCTGGTGAAAGGTATGCCGTGATTGTCTGTCGCAAGTGATACCAACCCAACGCTTTGGGCTACCTGGTATGAGTGGAGTTTACCTGACGTGTGTGGCTTGCCGTTTTGTTTACCTGACCTCAGCCTGCACTTAGTTGGGACTTCACCTGACATCGGAATGCGGGTATGTCTGGCGGGTACCGGGCATATCACGTGACTGGTGTATCGTTTTTATTTTTTTACACAAGTCAAGTGGTTTGCGAAACAAGTGGTGTGTGTACATGTGGATAGTGTGCTTGTGTCTGGTATTAAACTGAGACAAGTGTATTCTGCGTCTGGGATTTGCTTTGAGGTAAGTGGACTATTTGCAGGTATTTTTTTAGACAAATGGAGTGTGTGTTTGGTATTTACTCCAGGCAGGTAGGCTGTTTGTCCGGTACGGTCGAATTTTATGCCTGGTATTTACGAAAGGTAAGTGGGTACAGGCTGGTATTTATCTAAGGCAATTAGGCAGTGTGTCTGGTATTTAACTCGAGTGGTTGGATTGTGTGCCTGGTTTTTGGCTGGAATTGAGAGGGCAGTGTGCATGGCGCTATTTATAAATCATGCATGGTGATTCCTGAATTTAAACTGTCTAATTGTGAACATTATACAACGTATATTTTTTATGATTAGCTTACTCTCCATAAGGTTATATCCGTATATATGTTTGACATACTAATGATTTTGTGGTAGTCTGGGCCCATCAATATCTCATTTACTTTAGATGAATCGTGTTTATGTAAGCATTACCGAATACAACATCGTACTTTCTGCCTGTATAATATACATGTCTTATAACAGTACTAGATTATATACCAGTTATTAGATTGTAATGTTTTTTATTCTAAAGTTCGCACTGATTTCTATTATTTTTAATGCAAGTAACCTGATATTATTATATTCATATGTACCTTTTTTTCTAACGAGTAATCTCATACCACATAGGTCTTGTTTCTTTATTTTTCATAGTTCACCTGTTTCTCGTTATCTAACTTCTATTATTTTGGCTTGACGTCATTTATCTTAGCTTATACATCATTTTTAACTGATTAATCTATATCAGTTGTGTATCATGCCCCTTGTCGAGTCTAATTACAGGTACACGTGTGTATGTTTGTGTGTACGTTAATGTGTGTGCGTGCTTTTTAATTTATGCGTGTATGTGTGTGTACTTTTTTAATTTATGCGTGTATGTGTGTGCGTGCTTTTTAATTTATGCGTGTATGGATGTACGTCAATTTGTGTGGGTGCTTACTGATGTATGTGTGTACAGGTATTTGTGTGCATGCTTTCTAATTTAGTATGCGTGTGCACTTACAAATTTATATGTGCATGTTTGTATGTACGTTATTGTGTGTGCGTTTTATTATCAAATGTGTCTATGTTTGTGTGTGCATTAAATGTGTCTGTGCTTACTATGTCGTTGATATGTCGGCATACTAAGTTATGTATGAATGTTTGTGTGTACGTTGATATGTGTGTGTGCTTATTCATGCCTACGGATTCATGTGACGAGTGTGGACACGCTAGTACACTCGTATATAAGTTCGTTTACAAGCAGCGTGAATGGGCGACACCCATCCATCTTTGCTATATAACTCGTCACAATAGGCCTATCCTAGTAGTTGAGCAGCTATTGGGCTCAGTAGGCCTCCCCGTTGGCTCGAGTTTCTGAAAGTTTACGAAAATTAGGTCTTCTGTTAGTCGTCTTATATTACGTTATCGAATATGTTTTATGTTTATAGATTTTATTATACTGTGGGGAGTGAGGGAGGAGGGAAGGGGTGGTGGTGGAATGGAGGGGTATTTCTTGTTCTTTTTGCATGTAGTAATGCTTGAACTCTCGTTGCCATACGCTGGTCTACTCTTTTATTTTTTCTGACTTTCTACATTATGGTATTTTACATTCTTTGATCAATCTTTCTCAAGGCGGTGTGTGAGATGCTTCGGCTCGGCGCTTCTTTGCTACTGAGTTCACTTTGATTAGGTTTTGTTACTAACGTATATGCAGTCA